TAAAAACAAAATATGTGATTGATGTCACAGATTAGAAACAAGTACGTCTGCAATAACAATAATAATTCGTTAATCCATAAATTACATTCCATTGTTTTATTATATGTGCAAGGATTTTTATTTCTAATTCTTTTTCAGCATTCACTAATATTCTTCCATTGTTTCGAGAGAGGAAGTTCTGCGCAATCCTCCCACAAGCAGGTGCCAAAAAGATGTTAACCTACTGTCGTTTATATAAAGATTAACGCTTCTGCAAAATTATGCAATCCATTCTAGATTTGAAAGAAACAATCTTATCCATTTGTTATGATAAAGAAGCGTTTCCTGCACATCTTTACTTCTTATCTATCTTTCGAATTTATCTTTCATCAAATTGCTTCATCCAATAATCCATTCTCATGTAGGCGTCTTTTAATTTTGTTTTTTAATTATCCTCAAACCTACGCGTCACGACTACCTTAATGCAAAATTAATTTGTACGTGGATTTTTTGCGTAACTTATGGAAATTAACTTTTCTTCATTTCTCGTTACGACATAACATTCGGGGCTCGGTTTTCCCTCCTACATACTTAAATACTAATTTAATATTTAGTAAGAATGTCAATAAAGTTAGCTTATTTTTGGTTGAGTTTAGAAATTTTTAATCCATTTCTACATCATAGATCATCTTATTAAGAAGCATAGTGCATATTAAAAGTAGGTTGGAGCCTAGATAAATGTAAGATTCGGTTCGAAACTTGTTTTAATTCAAGGTTCGTTTCACTCCCATCAACGATTCCAATTCGATAATCCTCTAACAGCAGCGTTTGTCAACCCAAAATGACATCTTCTCGCAAAATGACACCTGTCACCTTACGTCAAAACATGGATGACAGCTGTCACCTTGTGTCAAAGCGAGAATATTTTTTAAATTTTATATTAGAAACAATTGAGTTTAGCTTCAATGGCAATTTTTAACATAACATAAATGAAGAGATTCGTACTAAATAATAGTTTATGTGCAGATAGTAAATAGCTGTTCAGAAAACCTGGATAACGCATGTCATGTTGCGGTCGTTTATGTTAGTTAATTAATGCATCTATTTACTTTCCCCGTTATTTTTCCAATGCGAAATCATTAGACACACGTCTCTGATCTGTTTCTACATTAAACTCGTTTTGCATTCGCGAATACTAGTTCTGCAAGTTCGCTTCGAATTATTATTATAGTACGTATAGCCATCTCGCAATAAACACACACACACACACTTAGATATTCTCTGACATTCTTAACGCGTGACATTGGATGAGAAATTATTGCAAATATGAATAATAACACTTTCAACTATAAATAATATGTATATATATATATTTTTTTAAATGCTTGTTACGTCTGCAAATCACCGTATAAAATGGGTGACTTTGAAGACGTGCTGCGACTTTGATATTCAATTTTTTCGTTGTATGGATTACTAACCGCATCGTCGAGAGGTTTAGTTCGCGCGTCGCTCTAAATATCCGATTACAGATTTGCTTAGAATGGAGTAAACACGGTAAACACTAAAAATTGATATAACACGGTGATATATCAATTTTTAGTGGGTTCTAGATAAACCAGTTTTTGAATCGTTGCACCATCGAGGATTCATTATCAACTGGTTTAGAATCTACATAATTAAATAGTTTCCAAGAAGTGAGGTCACTTCATTTATTGTATTTTTGGCTAAATCTGCTGGAAGAGATTTAACGCAAGGTTTAATTAATGTAAACTAATTAGATTTAGTCGTTAATGTTTTGATTATCTGTTTGTTTTGAACTGAGATAATAGAATTGCTTATTGAGTATTAACACAGATTATTTAATTGATCCATAAAACTTGGACTTTGCGAAATACGCTTGGAGCATTTTAGTCATCAAATATTTTCGATGTAATTAATGGTCCAGTTTTAGATATGGTGCTTGCATTCTAAATCCGGCTCCAAATTAATGATTTATTTTTTTGAAAGGTCGGTGATTCAGCAGGAGATTCATCGGCACCTACTCTTTATTCCCAACCGACTACATCCTGTGTCTTTCTTACATTATTTACACGCGTTTGTATATATATTTTTTCTCGATCCTCCACTTCGCGCTTCGTCCGTTCAATTTCTATGCAATACAGTCGCATTGAATGTTATTAGCTTAGTAACCGTTGAGGAATTCGTCGAAGTATTCGCACAAAATGTAAATGGTCGCAACAGCAACACCCTGCGAATGCATTTGCGCGCAACGCGGCCTTTATTGGTGCGAAAATCTTCGCGCAAGGTTAACATCTTGGCCTCTCCAGCAGTATCAGCAGCAGAAGCAGCAATATTAATCTTAAGATGTCTTCCTTTTGAAGGAACTCACGCATTTTCACGTCGGGGGTTCAACGTTCTGCCGTGTTCCCGTTCGACGCATAGACGAGGCGAAGAAACACCTCCTACATGACCGTTTTTTCAATTCGTAATTCACGTCGGACGTGAGCATTTTTTCTTATTATTGAACAAAAAAAAAACTAATAGAATGATGGGAAAAACTCGAGGAAAATTTGAATGCGACATGAAAACGGTTTCGAAAATGTCGCGCGCACAAAAACTAAAAATGTAATAATCATCATAATCATCGTTCAGCATAATAAATAATAAGAGAGAAAGAGAGAGAAAAAATGCTCGGGAATTGGATCAAGGTGTTTCGGTCTCAGAGACACTCTTGGTGGGGACGGATGATTGGGACAGGGCCGTCTTCAAAAATATACACGCAAAGAGATTTTCACGAATCCGCAGGAAAGGATTACAGGTAGAAAAGAAACGAATAAATTACGATTTTTCCCATTTGATCCTGTTTCTATGTCAAGGAGAAATCATTAGAAGAAAAACGATCGAATTAGTATATAAATCGGATATCGGATTCTTAAGATCTGTCGCAACTAGTTAATTTGTATTAATAGGCTTTTACGTAATCTGCTTCAACATGCTTTAGATGTTTCGATTCATTGTCATAGTTCAACACAACGAATCATTGCATAACCGACGTGGCATATTATACAAATTCTCAATTTAATATTTACACAATCTAACCAATTTGTTTAAATTCAAGAAATATTACTAAAATTACTGTTAAAAGTATTGTTTAAAATCACTGTTAAATTGAATAAATGTGAGTATACAAATTTTTGATATTTTTTGCATCTTGCAAGGAAACCGTTACTGCTGAGGATGAAGAGGTAACATCATGTAAGAGGAAGTGAGAACGGAATGTTATGCATTGGTTAGCGAAAACAGCGCTAATTTGAATGACGTGCATGAATGTGATGAAACGCTACCAGGAAGAAGCGTCTTGTGCATCGATCGAGGACAAAGTTCGGATCTTGAAGGCTTTCCGTAACAAATTTCGTGTGCTAAATTGCAATTGCACTTCACGAAATAAAGCGATTGGTTTTTGATGATTAATTTATTGCTTTCGCAAGAATCGTTGTAATTTATAGAAATCTGTTGATGAAATGGGCTAACACCGAACCTGTAGGATCCTCTTACTTTTAGGCCCTTCACTCTCGAGCAGTAAAATCTTTACTGCATCAGCTTCCGAGGTCATCGTCAGCGACAAATTGAAGAGGATCTGTTTGATATGTGTTGGATCGTCGGAAACATTCCACGTAACAAGATTATTACAATTCAGAACCCGCATTTGAAATGAAATAATTCAGGAACATCGTAATCCTTGAACTATGAAAGAATGAATGAAGGAAAAAAAAATGCGCGCATCAATGTAGCTACAAATTTCGCATTGTAAATTTTCTTTCCTTGAAAGTGATGTGTGTGTGTATACTTCTTCAACGCGAAACACAAATCGCAGATGGCCGCAACGAATAATAATCGTCTATTAATGGTTACTAAGGTAATCCCGTTGCTGAGTAACCAATGAATGAAATTAGCAACTATTACAATTAATTGCATCCGAAAAATCGTGTCCAGATGCGAGAACCATGGCCGAATAAATAATAAGTCTTTGGGAATCGATGAATCATCTCTCAATTCCTTCCACACCCATCGATCGGCGATTGCGGTGCTGTGTGCTGTATCTTTGCACCGAAACGCCGCCGCCGCTGCTGCATGATGTCTTTTCGCTCATTGTTGTTTCTCGTTCGTTTCTTATGGGAGGAGGAATGTTGTGCATGTGCAGCATGAATGGCTCGGCCGGCTCTCCGGCTGTAACTTTTTAAAATAAATCACGTCCTTCTGTGGAAAAACGCGGACACAATGCCATCGACGTTAACTAACTGTAAATAAACTTTTATATATCATTATTATTGTGCGCCGCTCAGTATCATTTCCGTATTTCATAATTCCTTCTCATTCCCCGCCACCTCCTTTCTTAAGTTGTCTGGTGACAACAGCGATCGACTCTGAAAACGTCGCCCGTGCTGCATACGGAATGCGACGTACGAATTGAATCCTTGATATTATAAGGAAATGTCACATTCGCAACGATGCTCCCAACTTGCGGCGAATAGTGGAGCGATCATTAATTTCATTTGGATTACGTAATTACGTTTGTAGTTCGCAACAAAAGTAGAAGTAATATACGAAAAAAAAAAACATGTATATTAAAGGATGAATGATTATGATGATTCGCCCGTGGCTGCAGATGCAAGCGCTTTTAAAGGTCGGACGCGAGAAGCGGCATTAATTAGCAAAAGAGCAAGAACGCAGTGAAAGTCTCGGCGAACGATAAAAATTCCACAAATTTCGAATACACCGAAAAACATATAACAATATCAGTTAATATCGACATTATCTGCTTCAGTTTTATTATTGTACACTATAAACAAGTTATTTATTACATTATTATCGTAAATATCAACAATTTTATAATGAAATCAGATATTTTGTTGTTGCTATTATAATTTTTTGTCTAAATATAAAAATGTATTCATAATTTCGACTCTATTTCAATTCTAACTATTTAGTATGAAATGGATCAAGCAACATAAAATTATTTGAAAACAATAATCTACTTTTATTAAAGGTATACAAATAGTTGTTAAATAAGGTAACAATTTCATTAATTAAATGAAAACTAAATAAATATTTATCAAAAATAATTGTTAGTTAATATATGTAAATAATTTGGTATAATATGACACAGGTGCTATCTTGGTTGACTACCATTCATCATCTTCGTCGCTCGAAACTTTCGCTTCTTTGTGTTCGGGTTCAGATTTCTCAACGGAAACCTTCGGCGATGCCTCCAATTCATTCATGTTATCATTGGCTTCCTCCTGGGGTCTCTCATTTGTTTCGCCGTCCACGAAAATCCTAACTGCGTTTCTCACGTACAACTTGTGGAAAGGTCCCGCCTCCAATGTAGGATGCAAAGGGCGTGTGTTCAGCGATAATTCTCTCAAATTATCACGATATTGCTCGACGAGATCGCCTTTCGCGTAATCCTTCTCGCTCGGCTCCGAAATATCCACGTCATCCTTAATCACTTCAGCGTGCGGAACCATATGAAATTTGTTGTCCAAAGGTATCAAGACGTACAGACGAGGCGCGTTGTTCGCGTTGTAAGAGCGTAAAGCCAAGCCCAATTTGTTGGCTTTCTTGGTTGCTTGCACGAGCGCCACGAACGCCTTATACTTGTAATTCTCCGGATCGACTTGCACGCTATGAATCTCTCCTCCTGCCAGATACACCTCCGGTAAATCGCAGGAATTTATAAACCCGATCAAAGTGAAATGTCTCGGTCCTCTGTATGCGAATGACTCTCTGCAGATTTTCGGTATTGCGATGATTCTGTCCAGAAAGTAATACACTTTGACCACATCTCCAGCCGCAATCTCCTGCTCCTCGTCTTCCTCCAAATAGTACCTGCAACGTGGTCTATCGATAGGATTCAACTTTGGCAAGTTTTGGGTGTCCATGATTCTTGAGGTCTTTGTTGGGAATGGAAAACCTTTAAATGTTAAAGGTTCCAACCACTGCTGTTTCTCAATCACCTCCACATAATATTGTAAGAAATCCAAGCCAAAATCTGCTCCACATACAATACCCTCAGTTTCCACCAAAATCTCTTTCAACAGATTCCAACTCTTGTTGTCCTCCAAGTCCATTGCTTTAACACATTTGCTTATATCAGTTTTATCAGATAAGCAAACTGGGATCTGCACATCAGGCCCAATTACATATAGATAAATATATTTTTCCCTGATGAAATCAATCAAGTCTGAGGACTCTTTGCTTTCAGTCAGTTCCTGTTTCATATCAGTTATGAATATCAGCTGAGAGGTGTGAACTCCTTTGACATCACTGTATCCTCCAAGTATATTAGCTCCTACGACAAGTGCATCTAACCAATTACCATTCTCACCAATTTTAGCCTCCTCAACCATTGTACAGAGATCAAGCCCATATGTTCTATCTATGAATGCAACTGATATATTGGGATGATCTGAATCGGAAGTCTCCTTGGAATGCAGCAGCACCAAACTGGTTTTATCATTTTTGTGCACCAAATTCATGTGGATGATGATCTCTTTCAAAATCTGAAGAGACTTCCTCCTCTCCATCAACAAATCGAATACAATCACGGAAACGTTTATTTTCTGGACTGGCGGCATTTTCACTTATTTTCTTTAACCGATGCAAAGCAAATGCAAAGATAAATACAATTTAAATAAATTCTCTAAATACCATACACTCGCGTATAATGTGTTGCCTACAATCCATTATTCCATCTGACGTGCGAACAGTTGTTTCAATCAGTTGCAGTCGTTCTTCATTTAAAGGTTATATTTATTTTGCAAACATGGTAAGTGTTGTGAATTTCAATCTTCCTCCAAATTAATACAAATTGAATTGAATTTAGGTGAGCAAGAAGAAGTTGGATATAGACAAATGCAAGCATCCGAACAGTCGTCGCACTGTGGCTTTCTCGAAACAGCTGAAAAAGTATTGAATTTCATTAATTTGTTTGGTTATGTTTATACTAACTGCGTTCTAATGTTTTAGGGTTTCGAATCGCGAAAAATCGAAGCTGGGAACAGCCATGAAAATGAATTTGGTTGGTGAGAAGTACGAGTGGTTTCAGAGTAAGATCAGTGAGAACGAGAAGTGCATGTCAGCAGCTCAGACTTATGAGCTCATAAACCAATACTTGAACCGATTCGAGGAAGAGCTGCAGCAGATCAAAATCAAACATTCGATTGGTCAGAGGAAGAACAGGCAACATGCCAGCAGGGAGGATATCATCAATATGACCATGAAGAGAGAAACTGAGGAGTTCAACACGTGTGGTTTAGGTAAGAGAACGTTAAATTTGTGTAGAAATATATAACATTTAGAAATTCAGTAAAAAAAAAATGGTGCTATATAATAATTGTTATTTACAGAAATACCCGATGTTATGAATACGAAAAACTATGAAGCATTGATGAAATGGAACCGCGAGCTCAGGTTCCTGCAAAATCTGAAAAGTGTCAGGATAACTAAAGCCAAATTGGAGGCGGAGATCAAAAAGAGCGGATACAATCGACTCTAACTTAGGTGAACTCAAAATATATAAAATAAAAATAAATTATGTTTTTTTAAAAAAAAATAATAATGATAATTGTGTATTCCTCTTAGGCAGGGGAAATGTTGTTTCTTGATATCCGCGATTGTTGTTCTCGGAGGCTCTCCTCGACCTGCTTTTCCATATGCTCTTTCATGATCAGCAATTCCCTGGTCCTTTGATAAACCGGGTCCTTGAGGAAATATACACACAGATTAGCGTAAAATTCTTTGATAAAACATCTAATAAAAGTCACCTGTGTCCTCATGCTTGGATTCCATCTGCAGTAGTACGATTTCCACAGATTTATGTGACGAAGACTAGCGACTGGAATTAACACTTGCTGCTGATGTGTGTTGGCCCAATACAAAGGATTCTTGTAGTAATCCAGTTGACAGTTTGTGAAGGACCACAGTGATTTGGTTTGCTCTTTCAATTCTAGAATAATAAATTTAAGTAGGTAAAATTCATAGTTACATAAAATGGTAACGCACTTTCTTGAAGTCGTTCGCGTTCGCTGTTGCACAAGAACGTGCCGAAACGGCATGAATACAGATGGTCTAGGATGGTGATGAGGAAGCATTCGTTAAACTCGAAAGCATTACTGAACTGCTGCGTAATCTGCCATACGCAGTCGATGAACTGCAAGAATACCGGTGATCTGTCAGCATCGGAATGGTGATCATCGCCGTGACCTATCCTCTGCTGGAATTTGTGTCCGAAGGATATCCACTCCTTCTCGATTAGTACCTCAAAGCCCTTAATCGTACGGTAGTAAGGGTCGAGCATCAGCATAGCCAAAGCTGTCAATTGAGCGGTTCTGTCCCAACCGTCCGAGCAATGGACTAATACTGAATTTTTGTGGTTCTCCACTTTATCCACAATTCTCACGGCACCTGCCAAAATACACTTGATATGTTTCAACCAGTAGGTGGATTCCACCCCGGACATCCAACGAGTCTCTTCGATCGTCGGGAAGCAGAGCTCCTTGACTTTGCGCAGAGATTCGCGCATTACGTGAATGTTGTGGATGTCGAGGAATACAAGTTCTGCATTTTGGTAGGCGTCCTCAGATTCGTACCCGCCCCCTTTCGCTTTGTTCGCAATTGCGTTCGCGCTCGGACGTGCATCCATTATGAACATTTTGTGACTTTGGGCGTTCGCATCCATAATCAACTGGATATACTTCTCGTCCTCCCTGCATCTTTTCCCGCTGACGCCCACAAGCGGTTGAGAACACCTGGTTATGGTTGCTTGAGATTCGGGGTGTATCCAACTCAGAACCGGAATCCGCCCTCTGCTCCTGTAAGCTGCGACCGCCCTCAGATCGTCGTCCGTCGCCTGAGCAGGCACCGCCCACACAGCAGGGTAGCTGTCGCAAACCTCGTGATTCTCATTAATCTTCGATATTTTCCACATATCATTGTTGATCCCCTGCAGCAAACATACATACATATAAATACCGAGATCAAAACGAAAATATATATAATTACCATTCTTTTCAACTCTGCGATCGGTTCGTATATGGCCCATCCGTTCTCCGCGAAATTCTCGCTGTATTCAAAAGCAAACAACTTGAGCTTATGAGAAAGCGGAAACGTGAACTGTTGCAGTTTCTCGAAAACGTCCCTCCTCGAGTGATTCTCCTGTTTGTGCGCGAAACGTAAATTTCGCATATCCTTGCAGAAGACTTCAATTCCGTAAGCGTTTTCGCCTCTGGACGATTGCCCGCCCACTTTTTCGATACGCGAAACCACGCCCAAAGCCACGTCTATAACGTACGGCATTTCTTTGTCGACCGATCGGAAATACAGCTTGTAATTAGTCACTGTCAGCACGCCTCTTGCTGGGCCATAATAAGGACACAGATAGGTGACATCCCTAGCTTGTCCAGCAACTCTTTCACCAAGCACTAAAGGGGGATCATCTGGTCTATTTGACAATGTAGCCTCAATTCCTGAAGCAGAATTGCCCTGAAAAAAAGTGTAATTATTATTATCAGACTTGTGTATCCAATGATAGCAAAAGTTATTACAAAATAAGCGTTTGTTTATGTGTTTGCAGCATCTATAAACTAATCCAAAGTGCATAAATACCTTGTGCCTTTCGAGTGTGGATACTACATTCTCTGTGGAAGTAGAACTAGAGGAGCAGTAGCTTTTGCTCGGCGACGTTTTTCCCCATCGCTGCAGCATCAATTCGCACATAATGTAAATCCGTGTTGTTACGATTAAAGCGAACTTACATTTTCTGGCTTGCTGAAGATCCTCGTCTCCGCTGTCTCTGGTGAAAAGGAACTGCTCTTTGTGTAATTACTGCCTTCCAGGTTCAACAGCTCCAAACTTCCCCGCTTATCCATCGTTCAATTGGATTGCAAAACTTCGCATGCAAACCATAGACACACCACCCTAAACAAAATACATAAACTTTGACAGATCCATCAAATTGGATTCAGATTTAAAATGTCATTAAGCACTGCTGCCAATTCCAGAAAAAAATCTTAATGAAACGCTGCATAACAAAGCATTATTTCCAACAGTAAAAAATCAATATCATGAATTCAAGAGAATTTAAACATTTCAAATTTTTCAAGGGCTGAATTATCAACTCGTAAATCGCCTGTTCACTGAACTCAATTCAATCAGAATGTATTAACAGAATCAATCATCAAATAATTCATTTGCAAATAAAGCTTACGCATAGAAATAAAGTGCAGAATGTATCGTCTGAAGATAGTTTCAGAATATCAACCCTTAAAACGACGTTCGTTCAAAAATTTAAAAAAAAAAAACTAAATAATAAGACAATCGGTTTCTGTATATAAAAAATCAATTTCTTTTCGTTTTATTTTCAATTTTCTTTTTCCTCTCATTTTTTTTTCGTATTAACAAAACAACATGAAAGAAAAAAACAAGGCGAAACAACACCCTTTTTCCCGATCATTTTCCACGCCGAAAAACAAAAACGTTCCAGCGCCATCTGTCTTCCAAGTTCCGACAGTTCCACGCGTCGGAACATAATGAAAAGCTCATAAATCCACCAGGAATTCTCTTCACACGAACATCTCTCCCACATATTACCTTCATCTTTCTCTTTTGTTTTTATTACGATTCGTTTATAAATATATTTACAAAACTTCTATATTTACAAGTTCATATTAAGAATATTTTTTTTTGTAATAAAAAGATTATAATGTACACAGTGAATCACGTTTCCCACTTTCTCTCTCTCTCTCTCTCACTCTCTTACTCCTCCGCATGTTGTTTGCTTTTTTTTTATTTAAAGTAAACTCTCAATTAGTTTTTAGTAAAATTCAAAAAAAAAAAACAACATAACAAAACAAAAAAGCCCTGAAAATGATAGTTGAAAACAGAAGAAAATGTGATAATTTTCGAAAGAACAGCAACAGGGGGAGTCAACTAACAGTATAACAATTATTTACAAATAAATTCTATATATAGATATACAATACACAAAGAAAATAATAATAATATTTATATAATATGTATATATAAAAAGGGAAAAAAAAAATATGTCATTAAATAACGTTTAAAATAATTAACAAAATTAATTAAGAATTTTTCTCCTCCAAGGAATTAAAAAAAATATATAATAATAGTCATCATCATCATCATTAATAAAGAAAAAAAAACAGAATACAAATCGTAGCAGGCAGTGTGATTGAAAAATCGTTGGGTTTTTGTTTTGCTTTGGCGGATTTCCTCATTTTCTTATTCATATATATATAAATGTATTATCTTTTTTTTCTTGTATCATAAAGTTCTCTTTCTTGATAGTTTTAGTAGTACTTGTACACACACACCAACAGTATTTTTCTATTCGCTTTATCCGCTTCATGTCTACAAAAAGAAAAGTTTAGAAGGGAAACAGAAAACAAAACAAAAAAATAAGTGATAATAATGTAACAAAGAAAAAAGTATCAGAGAGAAAAATCAATAATAATAATAATAATAAATGATGGTAAACATAAAGAAAAAGTGAATCATATATATATAATATATAAAAAAAAAATAATATTTTTTTTTTATAGGTACACGAATTTTAAAAATATTTGGTTCCGTCAATCACTATCCGACATAACCTTTTTCCTTTTCTTCGCTTGTTTTGGCTTCACGATTTCCTCCTCCTGAAACACAAACAAACACACAATTAGATCAATTAGTTTATGAAATGTTTAAGGGAACAAGTTTTGAGTGGGGAAAAGATATTATTTCACTGAGCGCCCAAAGGCTCGAGAGGATGGATAGATGGATGGATTCGACTTGCTTGCTAAATGAAATTATAAATAAAATAAAACGGGGCCAACGCAAGCAAGCAAGCAACTTTGATCGATAGAGTGCATGTGCTATTAGCGCGCAAACATTAATTGAAATTAAAATATACAGGGTGGACACTGTACGCACGCACGCACGCGTCTCTATAAACTAATGGGATGTTAATTGAAGACGCCACAAAATCGGGATTAATGTTATTTAAAAAAGAGGATTTACTGCAGTAATCCTTCACCCACAAAAGACTAATGGGTTTAGTCTGACGATCAGGAGTCGAGTGAATATGCCGCATAAAATATTGTTAAGCTCGCGCGAGGGATGCACACCACTTCCCATCCTCTAACTCAGCATTTTTCCAAAGAACCTCCTCACTCCCAGCGGGGGATACAGTACAGTTACTTATGGGAAGTGAAACACCAGTTATTATAAGCAACGCGCACCTTTTCTTTCATTTTTTTTTTCATCTGCTCCCCGGGGAAACCAAAGTCCGCGCAAACTTGAAGTGTGTTCCGATTTCAATCGCCGAATTGACCAGGACGAGAGCTCAAAATCCAATTGTGTATCGAAAAATCGGCGATACACCACGATCACAATCCAATTATATGCGGGAATACGGTACAAAGGCATCCAACTTTTTGATGCAAGTTATAATGAAACTATGTATGTATGTATGTAATACGTTTTGCGATCCACTTAAATAAGCTTTTAGCGAAACCGTAGCGCGAGACGACGACGACGACAAGGCGAACAATTCAATGAAGAAAATGTATCTTCAAGATCACAACACTAATGACTTATAAAAGTATTGAAAATATCTTAATTGACTAATAATAGAAATGTAGAAGACGGCACGAATCTATAAATCGGCTTCAGTTACTGAAATATGTTTACTCCAGCACGAAGCCCAACACGAATAATCTTCAGCAGATAGTATTTGTTCAAGCAAAGTTCAAAGGCAGAATAAATTTAAAACTTTACAACTACAGCGCTCAAATAAATATCCATAAACAAAGAAAAACATCCTCCACGATTTTATAACATAAATATTATTAAATGAAGTAAACAACACATCTGTTTCATCATCTCATAATATTATTGAATTCGTTAATAATAACGATTCATTAATATCAAAACTCTTTAAGAAATTGTATTCGAAAAATATTCTTCGTTCAAAAACGAACTGTTGTAAAATATATTTCACATGCTAATTGGTAAATATTTCACAAGCAATAATGAAATAAGTAAATAGTTAAGAGTCAATAAATGTTTAAAATAATAAAGTTCGAATATTAAAGTGAGCAAATTTGGTACGAAATAATATTGGATACATATAAAACAATTCGAGTATATTTGGTTTGGGATACGATGGAGCACTACCGTTTTATATATAAATCGCCTTGGATTAAGGATGATTCACGCGTAGGGCATTAGCAATTTAACTTTAACAGCTTCGAATACGGTGTGCTAGATATTGCAACTTTCAATCTTCGCTGCATGTGACAAGTATAATGCTTTGCAAATAACTTTCTACCGGTTACACTGTAACAGCGACGATTTCTGTTAATTAATAAATATTTACTTTTTCCTTATTAATAGAAATAATTGAATTAAATTATAATCAATACAGATAATTCTCCGAAATTATAAATGTACGTGATATATTTTTTTTTTAAATATTCTGCGAACGGAATTGTCGGTATTAAGATAAAAAAAAAAACACACGAGTTTCGCACTAATTAATAATTCCCTCCCTTTGATGCTGTATTTGCTCTGCAACCAGACATGGACCAAATTCGGGGAAATTCCAAAATCAATTCCCTGTAAACGGATCCGGGCACAACGATGACGTTAATAGCAATAATAATTATTATCATCATCGACGTCCAACATTTGAAATCAGCTAATGAAAGTGCACGAAAACAGATTCTTTGTTGTCGCAAATACCACACACACACATTAAATCAAATTAAACCTTTTGATATGGATGCATGTGAAAACAAAACAAAAAGTTAATCCTAATGGATTGGAATTGATGAAATATGTGACGAAATCACCTGTTTACATTTATTTTGAACGCTCTTTTGGAAATTAGTGCTAGCAATATTATACTTTTTCTTTGTTAGAAGAATGTTTCGATTAAATTGTTTTTAAGAAAGGGGTTTCAGTGGGATATGTTTATACATATTTGCAGCGCGATTGAATGTCGAAAGGAAGCAAACAACGTTTGTTATGGCGATCTGTCAGGTAGCTGCAGTGCACGTCCGTGCATTGGTACATAAATTGAAACCGTAATAGGCGTCGTAAAAACACTTAAATATGTGCTATATGGTTCTGCTTACAGCAATTTTTGTACCATTGCCCCCCGAGAATTATAAATACTGCGACTACCAGCCAGCGACAACAAGATTATCCTTCTTGTTTGTTAAGGGGGAGATAGGAGGGTAGGTTGGACGTGATATTAAATATAATAATTTCCCGGTATTAAAGAAGGGTCGAGTATAGGAGTACTCCCCGGAGACCAATTGGTCGCCAAGTTTGAAGAAGAATTATTTGCGTAATTATAATTACGGATACAAATGTGTGTTTTGGTGGTTTATTTGCAAATGGAAGTTTGGACGATGTCTGGCAATTCACCTGCAGATCTCCAATTTGTTCTGAATATCAAATATTGGTTAATGTCGAATAGGTAAATAGACATACGCTATGTCTATTCACGAATATACGGATAACTAGGTAAACGGCATTGCAAGAAGAATGAAAGTAGAAAAACATTCGTCATGTCGATGGTTTCGGTAGGTAGAGAGGGAAGGAGGAGTTTGGTTTTAAAAAAAAATGGGAAAGTGTGCTTTTACCTCACTGGTGTCCTCGGAGGACTCCGAGACCTCCTTGGCGTTTCTTTTGTTGGCCGCGGCCGATTTTGATGCGGGCTTTCGTCCCCTGGAGACCTTATTCTTTGTGGTGATGGTGTCTTCGTCCTCGGTGAGGGCGAACAGGTCGCTGAATTGTTTCTTCTGGCTGTCGTTGCTGTTGTTTTGGGCGAGGACGAGCGCCTTCTGCATGGAGTCGAGGTTGTACAGAGCGAGGGCGTTGTGCCGTTCGCAACGGACTCTCAGTTGGTCCAAATGTCCCAGCACTTGGTCGGCGCTCGGCACCGCCGAGCTGATGCTCTTCACGTTCGACCGTTTCCGCTTGTTGGGCGACGTCGCCGGATACCTGGTGCTCAACAGACTCGCCACGAGCTCACCCACTTTGTCAATGTAACTATCACACCAATGTCTTATCATCGTGAACACTAGGGGGTCGCCCTTGTCCCGCACGTCGCGCGAGAACAGGTACTTGACGAAGTCCGCCGTCGGTTTCTCTTGCTTCAGCATCAGCGTGATGGCGGTCAAGGCCTCCGCGTGCTGAGCGTAGTCCAGATGCGAGATCAACGGTATGATCGACTCCACGGATATGTCGTGGGCCTGGACCAGCTGCCACAGGAAGAACTGTTCTATGCTCTCCCAGTTGAGGCTCGTCTTTAGCAGAGACTGCAGACTGTCCGTTTTGAACATCATCAGACGTCCTTGCATGATCTTCCCGACCAAGTCTTGCAGCTGCGTCGCGTCTATCGTCGACAATATCACCCGTAGTATTTGAGCGTTGTTCACTGTCTGCTGTTTGAAATCTTTATACAGGTCTGGAACTAAAAACAACATCAGATTGTTCTCCGTGGCGTGGCACGCATTCAGATCGTCATATAAACAATTGTCCACCTTTTTCTCGACGTTCTGACAGAACTCCTTGTATACGCTGATCTTCAGCGTGTTCACTTTCGTCGACTCGTCACGTTTCTGGTCAGACCTCACTTGGATCTTCAGAAAGTACAACAGCAGGTACCCCACGTTGCACTGTATGTTGTGTATCTCCGCTAATAGTCTGAGCAGAGTCTGTTTACCCGTATCGTCACTAGTACACCTAAGATAGAGGAATTTGAAAATTACGAACACCGGCGACCGGATGCTGTCCTGCAACGTTTGTTCGTTCACATTATTCGGGAACACAATACTCTTCAAGTCCTCCTGCAGCACGTTCGCACACAGAGCCTTCGCAAGCACAGGAATCACTTCACTGTCCTCATTCAGCAACACCACGTGCTCGATTAACGCCTCCATCAGTTGGCACCGCTTCTCCTTTTCCTTTTCACTTTGCAACCGGTTAAGTGCCGACCTCATAGGTCCATCGATTATCTGATCGTTACCCTTGTCGCTTTTCTCTTTCAGCTTGACCAAGGGAATATCATCGTCATCTGTATCGTCCTCGTGCAGATGCTGCGATGGAACAGCTGCAGACTCTTCCTCGTCATCGCTAAACGCAGGTTCACTATCCAGAATGTGATTGTTGAATTCATTCTCGCCGTCAATTTTGGGTGCTCCGAAATCCTCCGCCGTCGCCTTCGACGATGACTCCATCGGTTGCACGCAAAACTCTTTGAAAGTAGTCCGAATCATATTTCTCAAATCCCTGTCGAGTTTCGTGTTGTCAAAGAGGTGTAGCAGCGATGGCAGAACGCGCTTGTCCAGAATCTGCTTTAGCGATGAGAAGATGCCCGTGCGCACTTTGTCTGCAAGAGGGGGATAAAAGTTCGATATGATTCGACAGAGGAAGTCGAGGAGAGTCGCAGAGACGGGTGGATGCGATCTCATCGAATGATGCATAACAAGAATGGCCGGCTCGATGTTCATGATATTGTCTCTGTCACTGTCGAAGAACAGCCAGTCGTAGAATAGCGCCAGTTTAGCGTTCGACACTGCCACTGTCGAGGTGCACGTAGTCAGAAGCCACCCGATCACTGCCCACCTCGGTATGATCTCCGAGCACAGTAGCTCATTCGTCGGATGAATGACTCCCACGATGAACCTGATCATGTCGCACCTCAAGCTCTGGGATTCCGGGGTAGCGAGGTACTGCCTTTGGAACCAGTCCTGGTATCGCTTGTGATTCCCGAAGCGCACCTGCGAAGTGAGGAAAACCAATTTCCGCTCCATGTCCGGCGTCAGGCGGGATTGCAGGTAGCGTCGCGAAGTCCTAGTTTGTAGCAATTGCAGAACACCGGTGAACGTCGGACTGAGGCTCTTCGGATTCGCTAAAATGTCTCGCCACAACTGCTCGAACTCGGGTATTCGCGCCACGTTTTGCAACAACCTCACCAAATCCCGTCCGATCACCATACACTCCGCGAACCGCTCTCTCAACAAACCGATAACGAAAGTCACTTCCTTCTGTCTGAGGGCAGTCAGGTAGGGCGCATTGTGGTCCTCGATTATCCTTAAATACGTGTAGATCACGGATGGAAGCAGAACGGGATGCTTCTCCAGCCAGCCGCGATACTCTATGAACATGTCCAGAAGTGCCTCTATGAGACTTATGTTTTTGGGGAGGACGTCGCCGCCGGCCGCGTGTCTCATAAGATTCAGGCACACGTTGTCCACGTTGCTGACGGCATTCTTTATCATCTCCTTGACCAGCCACAGCACCTGGATCTTGGCTGCCTCGATCAAACGCAAGAATCGCTCCAGCACTAGTTGAGAGAGATGGGCGAGGACGAGTCCCATCCCATCCCTCGTGATCAATGTCAAATGTGTATAGCATTTCGCCGCGTTCTGAGGCTCCGCCAATATCGTACCCAGCAATCCGATGGACACGTCATCGTACCCCTTATCCTTGAGCAGCGCATTGTTCAGCACGTCGTGTGACTCCTTGTCGCTCAATCCCGACGTCAAGTTCTGCAGGTACTGATAATTCCTTTCCAATTTCTATAAAACAATCCAACAAATACATTAATACCATGAAGATAAAATATGAATATCAACATACAACAACACCTGATATCAACGTACATTACATTACAAAAGACAAACACAAATACTTTATAAATCTTATATATCACAATTCAACAATAGCAAATCGAAAAGTTGGCAATTGAATGTGTTTGGACATGGAATAAATTACTGAATGTAATATCGGCAATTAGCGAAAGAGGAGAAAGGAACGAAACAGTCAACTGCAGGAGGGGTAAATCGACGTTCATGGAGATTCCACATATTAGATTCGCAGAAAATTAATATTAAACGAACTGGAAATGGAAGTTTGAAAAGATCGGACCTGACAACCGAGCGAGCGGGATTCTGGAAACTATGAGCAGCAGCAGCACCAGCAGCAATACGTACACTGCGGACAACATAATCACGCTGAATTACGCAACAAGAACCGAACTTGGCGGATGGAAATTCTGTATGCTCTATTTATAGATTTCCAACCGACACACACACACACACAGACAACATCGAAGGGAGGATTGTTTTGCACGTCGAGTCTGCGGGGTGTTCTTAACAAGTGGTTGGTTGCCTCAACAACTTCGTCCGAGTAGCGAAAATACGTTTAAATGAAAAAAAAAATATATATATACACGTAAGTTGGAAATGCTTCTTTCCTATTGCCTAGTTAATTGGGACTTTTCCGTGTAACTATAGCGCAATACAGGTAGAAGTTGTTGTTATTTTTTTTTCATTTCCGGGAATATCAGGGACGTAAACATCGTTAGTTCTTCTTTGATCTTTACACCACGTTCTTTTCGTTGCATAGATTGAATATCTTTGGCTGCCTGGAATCCGTATCATTACGGGCGACTACAATATAATTTGTGTATGCACATAATAAGATAAGATACGACTATGGAACAGGTCTTAATAATACATTTATTAAGAAGAGAAGAAAAAAAAATGTTATTGTTGCGTCCGATACCTCGACGGAGGTCGTGCATATACACGATGAATGTTACGTTTTAAATTAATTAATTGAACTTAGGCAAAGGCATTCGCAACTGACAACGTGTATTCAGCAATGCCAGAACGTACAGCAAGCATGTACGTCTCAGTTAGCATATGTCCGTATATGCACGTCACCAAAGAGAGTACACACGTTGCGAAACGATAATTTGTCTTCTCTTGCGGTGGCTGTATTACATAAGAGCATCGATTGAACGGTTAAATAGAGAGAATTTCATTTATCGATCAACAACAACAATGAGAAACAAATATAATGAGCGAAAGATTAATACAAATGTGTGATCGTATATAATTAATTTAGAATTTTGCCGAAAGGTTGGAAAAGGGATGCTTTTTATTTTTGTAATTAGCAACGCTTCAAATCTGTTCTGTTCCAACGACACCCACGCACACAGAACATCATCATCCCCGTTGTGTTCGTACGCTACATCTATTTCCTTGTCATCTCACTCTCGCAAGCGCAACTCACTCAGTACACCTCTTCTTTTTGGAAGCCGAAACTTGCAAATTAACTTCCAGTTACGGAACATAGAATTAATTAACAAAATGCCCCGTGCTCGTACACATACACCGTATATACATATGCATCATGCATGCATCATGCAAGTTCCGTTTTAATGAACGCAAATATAAAATTCATTTCGTTTAATAAACAAATAGCGGAAAATTAAAGGGTCTTCTGTCCCTTCCCAACCGAAACGAGCAAACAAAAAAAGACATTCGCGCACGAGAGAGAGTCTTTTGAAAGTTTGCAACATCAAAACGTAAAGAAGAAAAAAACACACGAAGCAATTAATTTCAGTATTGATTTCTAAGTGGCATATTTATAGTGTATACACACAATTCACATGATATTGCAGCGAGCAAGAAATCGCGTCGAGTCCTTTCAATTGATTCAGTTATCAATTTACTAATTACATTAAGCTGCAGTGGGATGAACATACACACACACACACAAAAAAAACAGAGCAAGCAACAAAAGGCCTCATTCAGAGGGAGACCCACCTGAACGGAGGAAGGAAAAAGGGCTCACCATTCAAGCGGCGGGTTTATTGAACTCTGAAACGCTGCTTTTCATTGTTGCACTTCCAAACTGAACGTGATAACAACATACACTCATATATATATAAGCACAATCACAAGATAAAAACCTGTTGAAAGCCGGGATGTTTACTTAACAATTAGCTAATGAAAAGAAAGCGAAAAAACAGAGTTATTTAAGAAAACCTATCGGAATGGTCATTGGATGAATAAAACTACAGAAAGAGCAAACAAATCCCGTAAGTTACATTGATAAAATAAAACTGTTTACTGGGCGAAATCATCGTTAAATTAAGCTCAAGCGTAAACAGAGTAAACTTTCAAATGCTTAAAAGAAAATAATTATTATATTAATAATAATAATAATTAAACCTCGAATATATGCGATGTCGAAAGATGCTCCAGAGATGCGCGATTCTTGTTGAATATTCCGAACGCGTCCTCCTCCTCCTCCTCCTCAAGATAAACGTTTACGAAACATAAATAATGTGCATCGGCGATTCCAAGAGTTTTACAAATTAATATTTAGTACTTCGACTAATTGCAATGAATATTTACAAAACAAACAAAAATACGTTTCGTATTTGCGGAACGAGGAGGAGAAATTGTAATCTCCCGCTACATTCCGAATCAATGAATGCGTCGACAAATAATGAATAATTCCGAATCAATTAATATAGTAAATAATGCAATTACGCGCATAATTGTTTACATTATTTCCAATCACAATTTTTCAGGTAGAAAAGTTGCAAAAGTCCAGTTTTTCACGCGCTCTATATATATATATATACTGTTAGTTATGCTGCGACACAAGTTTGTGTTTATATTTTTTTTTGTATCGAAATAACAGCTGGACAGTGTTACCTTAATTGCACTTGCAGACTCAATTATATTCCTTCTCGATGCAATCTTAGACTCGCGCAAAATTGCTATTATGCCACCGCAACATAATTGCACTTCTAACCTGATTTTATGAACTGTTGCGAAACTCGGGATCCTAAACTTATCAAACACAATTGTTTTACACATTTTCTTTCTATTTTCTCATGAAAATCTAAGCTGTTATTTAAAAATTATATATACACATATAGGATTAGGCCTCAAGCACTATAAAATCCAATTACAGCTATAAAACTATTAAATTTTACAAAAATATTTTATTACTCCGGTAATCAAACATTTTATATACACAAAAGCAATAACTTTTAGAAAATCTATAATCAATTTCTTCTTCATTAGGAAACAGCATTTAATTGGATTGGAAGTTTTGTAACAAGTAAATAACAGATTAAATAATGATTTTTCACGTCAAAAGATACAACAGCAATCATTAGTGACACAAAAACAAGAGGAGAGAGGAAAAAGTTATAAACAGTATAAAGGGAGCAACAATAAAAAGAAATTTATATAGAACGCCGCACGAAACTTAAGATTTTCTTTGGAAAGTCCTTAACTAGTTGCCAGAGTGGTTTATTTTCCTATTCGGGCATGAGATCGATATATGCTTACATCGAAGATTGTACAAAGAAGTAGAAGAAAAAAAAATAAATATAACAAACGCGAGGAGCGGGAATAAAACAAAATAATTCGCAAGTTTTGATTTCAAACTAGATTTGAATGAGACGACACCAGTTCGGAGAATCTCTGTGCCAACTGATTTATTATATGAACGATAACATTTAGTGCTGTTGATTATTCATGTGAAGAAAGATCAGTTATTACAAATTCATTATTCAGTTTGTTATTATCGTAATCAACGCTCAACAAACAAAGGAAAATTTCTAGATATTAAAGACGTATAGTCTTAATGCACTTAATGATAACCGAAGAAAGTGATTGGTGACCAAATTATACAAATTCACGAAATATTCAGAATTAGTATTTTTTTTTTCTTCAATTTTCATAATCAGAGTTTTTTTTATAAACAAAATTCTTGTTTCCCCGACAAAATGTACAAAACTAATTCAATTACATGTACTTTTCACAAAATTAAATATATCTCAATTAGTAAATGTAGGGTATATATGTAAAGCGATATTACTGTACATTCAATATCATGAAAATTGGCCAGAGACTTTCTAAAAACAAATTTGATATCACGTTATGACAATAATATTTGAACCGCAAACACCCAAATTGATCGAACTCACAATTTCTGTATTTCGTAACAAAGTCTGAATATAATAATAATAAAACATTTCTGCAAATTATGCATTGGAGAGACGCAAGTACTTATTATAAAGCGCATATTCTATGTGAATTCAATAAATAATCAAAGCAATAACTTTTATATAAAAATCAAATATTGAATAATTAAAATGTTAAGTTGAAAACTGGAATCTGCTGAACTTCATTAAGTATTTAAAAGTTGTTTAATAGAATACATCATGTAATTAAATTCAATGTGCATCAGTTATACGAATATTACGTGATTTTGATGAAATACTGCCCATTGAAAATAAATTAATTAAAGTTGAAGTAAATCGATGGAAAACTAAAAAAAACGCTCACGCAAATTGCACGTTGGAAAAAAGGTCACGAGCGAAACATAAAATATTTATAATTAATTATAATAATGATAACAACAATAAATTTAGTTTTGGAAAATTAATTGGCAAATCTGAAATTAATAAACAATGCGCCAGAGGTTAATAATACACGTGCAGCAGCTTCGCTTTGCCGCTCAAAGTTGAAACTTTCGCATTTGAAGCACGAGATTTGAGTGGTTTCTGAAATTGCAGTAGCCACGGAAAACATACTTTGTAAAGCTTCAATTAGTTTTAACAAATTTTCACACAAGTCGAAAGGTTCTCAACATCGAAATTAACCGTGATAAGCTCTGTTTCGTCACGTTCGAGTTGGATACGTATTTTTACGCGCATATTATTCACAAAGTTCGATTAAAAATATTCTACCTTATAAACAAGAGTGGTGAATAATAATTGGATATTTGATACAGCAGCGTTCGGAGCCGCGTCGGAGCGAGAAAGTTAATTATCCATCATCCAAAAGCTTGGCGAAATATCATCGGATACCGAATGATGATGATATCGATGATACACACACACATACATTCAGAAAGGTGAGAGAGGAAGGAGAGACGAAAAGAAAACTTATTTGTTTAGACTGAAATTGCTCACTTCGCAGCGCGATGACAAAGTTATTACTAATTAACAAGTTATAGAAAACAAAGTGCATTGATTTGCAAAAGTTATTTATTTGAGGAGGAGGAGAAGAAAAGAAGTCAAGGGCGGAAAAAAGGAATCGTATGCGAACGCGAATTCAATATTATACCTCTTGCTAACCTTTCCACGTGCAGCAGCATTATGAATTAAAATCGCAAATAACGTATTTCATAGGAAACGAAACGCGGCCACCTTTGATTCGATTCGAATCAGAATCTAATAATATCATCCATCCTTCCATATCATCTTTCTTATTCAATAACAAAAATAATAATGTTTTATTCGCATTTGCCTGCACAGTATTCACATACAAAACTTTAATAAAGATTATTATTAACCATATCCATCATCAACAACAACAACAACAAAAAAGCAGAACAGTTCCAATGTCTAACCCACTTGTGCTACTACTCACGCTCGTACAATGTTGGTTGACTTATCCTGCCTTACAAGTCAAATTACGAACGATGAAACATATATTTCTTTTCCTTCTATTCTCCTACAGTAATGAAATAAAAAAATGTAACATTCAACAAAGTGATTAACTTCATGAGTCATTTCATGTTATGAATTCACGTTTTGCACAAATAATTAAAAAAAAAACACAATTTCAATAGATTAACAACTTCAGTTCATACTCACGATTAAACAATTTCAATTGTGAATTTTCATTTAAATCAACTGAAGTTTTAAATCATTTTGTTTTCAGAACAAATTTTAATTCAATCATTATTTTTTATTTACGCAATTATTTAACAAATTCAAATCCTATTCATTTAATTCAATTGATGAATTTATAAATTCATCCTTTTCAATTCTATTCAAAACAATTTCAATTTAATTTCCATTTAAACACATAAAAATTCCGATCGTTACAAATCATATTTTACTTATTAAATTCAATGCAATTTTTCAGTTTTAATTATCGAAAAACTTCAATTCCTAAACGTGACAAATTATAGAAAAGAACAATTAAAGTTGCAAATTTCAATTACAAGCAAATTTTAAAAGTTTAAAGTAATATTTCTCTTTCAAAACAAACGTTGTACAATTTCCTTTCCCACTCAAGGTTTATTATTACATCCAAGTATAAAATACACGAATGACTGTAAAACATTAAACTTTGATTTTTATTAAACATGTCAAATTTGCAAATAACACTAATTTTTTTTTTAAATAACGCTTTCTTGTCTACATAATTAAACAAGATGGATAAGAGTGTAATAACTGTCGTATTTTTTAACTATTTTTTTTTTAAATAAATCAATAAAGTTTAACTGTTATTCTCGTAAGTAACCAGAAAAACATGATAATTGCATAATAAGCTTTGCAACTAATTGTAAATTAATAAATACATGGAAAACCCCAAAAATAAACTCCGTACTATATTTAAAAGAAACTTCTATAAATAACTTAAAGAGTGTAAAGTTCAAATTACAATTTTCTTCTTGAATAAATACAAGCCAGTACAACCATCATGCAGGTAAGTACAAGTTTCACTGAGCAAAGAAATTTAAGATGAAAACGAGTACTAACTTTAATCATCATTTATTCTTTATTAATTCAAAGTAAACTGTACTAAAGTTGAATTTTATTAATAATGCCCTACTGTAAATGATAAAGAGTTTTCCCCCCTTTTGAGAAAAAAAAAATGTAATGAAAGGGTGTATGTATTCATACGTGCGGCACTCGACGATGCGAATGCCCATTAGTCTAATCTCCAAAACTACGGACAGGGGAAAATGAACATACGCATCTTATCGAACATTTGATGTACCCTAAAAGGAAACTCATACTATATAGTATTTATATTCCGATAACAAAACGCAATCATTGGGGCAAATTAAAATTTCTAATAGAAAAACGATAAAGTTTTTCTTGATGTCTTTACAATCTATTGATAAACATTTATATAAGTTGTTGTTTTTTTGTATTTCGCAGTTAGCAGGCTATCAAAAAAAATACATCCCTACGCCGCGGGATGTGTTGTTAAGACTTGTTACTCTAGCAACGACTCCCCTACTACAGACACACACACACTATTTGATCATGAATGACAAAGGGTACATCCGTCGCACGCAGCATTCTTGGATGAATGCGTTTAAAATTCAAATACAAACTTTAAATGTGCAATTTAAAACTTGCTGCGACAAGACTAATCATAATTTAACAAACGTTCAATATTTCAATTATTATGATACAAAGAGATTCGCGATTCTCACGATCAAATTATTGTTTAATATAACGATGAAACAGTTCGAAGATCAATTGATTCTTAAAAAAAAAACATTGGATCTACTGATTTGTGTACTGCTATTAAGAGTCATGTTTATATTTGTGCTACTGTCGTAAGTGCAGCAAAAACAGCGTCATTTTCGTGTCGTTGCAACCAGATGACGTAAACGCATTTTTGCATTTGCGTAATTTACACGTCATGAAATCAAATCAGGTATTGTCATTAATCAAAATTTAGCAAATCCATCAATTAGATTTTAATTATATAATATGTTAAAATCGTAGTTTATGTAGAAAATATTACGTTCCAAGATGGCTTTGTTTTATTACTTGAAAACAAAAAATTCTAATTGGTCCGAACGAGAACAAAGATCAAAATGCTAAATATTTACATGCCACAGCAATGATCACCGAATCTTCAATTACAAATATGTAGTGCAAGTACGAATCATTATAAATCAAAAAAAAAATAAATTTCAATTCAGTAATTCAAAACAAATTATTTTTACAAAATCAGTAGAAATATCTTCGAAATTTCAAACTTATGTAATCAAAAATTAAATTCAAACAATCTCAATTTCTTATTCAATTTACATTTTGTTAAACATGTTATTAAATCATTCAAGTTTTGCAATAATTTAAAATTATTAACAAAAAAAAATAAGTGAAACAATTTGATAATATTGAATTACATTATTGAATTATATTTTACATGGAGAAATTCTATTTTCATTAAGTAATTCATGTTGTACAATCAGCAATAATTTAAGATAAAAGTTTAAAATAAATATTTAAAATAATTTGCTAATATTGAATTAGTCTGATTTTAACATATATTGTGATTAATTGAATTTAAAAGATGAAATGAAATTTCGAAATTGAAAGTATTAGAGTTAAAAAGTTATTGAACAATTGGGTTAAATTGAATTTGAATTATTGAAGTTTCACATAAATAAGTTAAACAGTTGTATAGTATTGGATTGATGGTGCTGAATTGGTTGAGTTAAACAGCTGTTGAGTATTTGCATTTAGTAATTCACGTTGTTGAGTTATCGTTTATCGCAATTAGAAATGCAATAGGAATAAGGCGAAATGGATGTTGAAACGTACAAACGAACGAACGAACGAACTAGGAAGATTTGCCGAGACGTTTTTGAGAACGTTTCGAAACTTAAAACCGCATATGCTGTTATCATTCTATTTATACGTGGTTGTTTGTAAAGAATGCAAATACGAGTATGCAGCACAACACAATTAATCGAAACAAATGAATAAAACAGAAACGAAATAAATAAAAAAAGCAGGCGAAATAAACAAACAATCGAGTAGGGAAATAGTGGGGCCCCCCTGCACACGTAAACATAACCTACAAAAGTAAAAACATGAAGAGGAGCTTAGACGCAGTCTAATTGGAATTGATGGATAATTAGATTTCGGTGATGAATCAAAGAGGTGGGGATCTCTCTCGATGGTTTTGTTTTGTCTCTTTTCAAGGAGCGGACACCGAGTTTGTTGTTTGTTGTGGTGGTCGTTTTTGTAGGTTATGTGTGCAGGATTCTTTCGTTTTTTTTTGTTCTCTCCGTTCCCATGCAGAGAACGTCCTTCTCTCTTACAGACAGATTGCTGGGTGCGAAACGGACGACACCCAGGATCGCACGCGATATCGGATGGGCATGCATACATTCGAATTGCCCGCCTAAAAAGAAAGCAGCGTGAAGCATAAAATAGATGGAGGAGGAAGAAGAAGAAGAAGAGGTCGGGGCGATCCACAATGGCCGCCCATCGCTCCCGAACGTGAAACCGTTTTTTTTTTTTCCTTTTTCTCTGTTCACTCTCCCGTTCGGTGCTGCGCTCTTTTTCCTTCCTCACCATCTCCGTCTCCCTTTCTCCCGTCGTTTCTCGCATTCGGATTCCGCCTGCTTTCTTCTCCCGTATTTTCGTTGTTTGCCGTTTGCTTGTGTGTATGTGTGTGTGTGTATGTATATGTATATGCGTGTGTGTGTGTGTGTTTCTTTTATTTTTGTATTCGTTTTTTTTTTTTTGACATTTACCTCTTCAAACTCGTCTCTGATTTCGACCGCAGACGTCACGAACAGTTTCGATGTGGGACTTTTGGCGAGCTCCATAATAATCCAAAGTTGCCCCTTTGATTCGGCACACCGCTTCGAATTATGCACTTTTGTGATGTAGAACAGGCGGCCGCTGCATCTCTCGCGTGTCTTCTCTCCTTGCCTCTTGGAAAATGTTTGTGAAAAGCGAGCCGCGCGCCCATATATACGGTGCGGATCGGCGCACGTCCGAGCGCCTCCGATTGAGCGAGACACTACCGCCCCACCACCGGACGTAACTCTCGCAATCCCGCCCACATTAAACCATCTCGACCATCCGCATTTCTACGTGCTGCACATATATCCAATCCAAAAAAAATAAAAAACAAAAAAAACAAAACAGTTCTACCAAAACAACCGGAACTGTACTCTCTATCAATATTCAATTACATCCATACGCCACAGATGGCAGCCAATTATCGAAAACATCCTCAAACACCAGCGATTCCCAAACATCAATTTATTATGTAATACTAATCATTACAATTTACAATCCTAGTTACTAGACTAGTCATTCTCATATCTCATTTATCAAATAAACCAAATAGTTTCAAAAATATTATTAAATTACATTATTGCATTAACTTAATTACAGATCTAAATAATAATATTACATCAATCTTTTAGATCCAAAACAATAAATATATTAGGTAAATCATTCAAATTGCAGAAAAGTAGTTCATAAAGAGAAAAAGAATAAGAAAAAAGCACACTTTCAATATTCAATTAGATTCATCCACAACATAACAGATGGCATGTATGTAACCAAGGAATGCCAACCAATAAAAAAATATTTTTTAATTCTATTTTTTAAACAATGTTCCAATTCAAATCTTTGTATCTAAAATTCTATAAAACTTTAATAAATTTACCAATATTTTATAAATTATTGAGCAATGTAAACATTTGAATCATTTATTATTTTTAAATAAATTAGATTATTTAGCTTTAATTATTTTTATTGAAAAAAGTGTTTGTAAATAAAAATTAAATCTATTTTTCCATCTGTCTCTTATTAATTTCTCAAAACTATTGATCGAACTCTTTTGGCAAATCTCCTGTAGTTGTAGTTTATTTATAAAGAAGCAGCTAACATCGAAATAGTAAAAATTGAGCCAAAGGAATATTACTTAATATAGAATCCATCGATGCAACAGAATACAAAAAAATAATAGTAGAAAACGTAGCTGTTAGAAGAAGAAAAAAAAATATATCTTTGTTCAGAAATATAACGACAAATCCAGATTCTACACAGCGCCACAAAAATGTAACGGATCAATAAAAATCACGAGGATTAATCAATAACATTAATAAGTTTTTCTATATCATAATTTGGCAGAAATGCAAATTGTTTTAATTAATTATAATTAAGTTAATTGATTAATTTTAACTATTGTACATATCAAATGTTGGATATTTGCTGCACGATGATCGGATGAATTCGTTTTCTGTAATAATACAAGAAAAAAAGAGAGCCACTTGGAGTATTCGTACATTCAATCGATTTAATAAAGCTACATAACATTTCCTTTACAATCTGTATTATGTCCACAAATATATACATATAATTCTATTTCATATTGATTCAGACCGATTATTTTCTATTTATTGCATAATTTTATAGTTTATTTTTAGCCATTCTCATATGGCTTTTTAATATTGTTATTGTTGCAGTATCAATTGTTGGAAAATAGGAAATTTTCAATATTTTACTTTAATAAATTAGTAAACGCAAATATTGATTTATAAGTATTTGCGAGGTCCTCTTCTAAATATTTCCAATTCAAATATTTTTTAGTTCAATAATGAAATTATTAAAAATTAACGCTTCAAAAAAAAAGTGTCTTCACATTTTAATGATTTTCTCATAAACTATAATAGAGAGAATGGATCCAACAGATGTAAAGTTGGACATTTAGGGAATGTATCTTTACCTAAACCAGTGGTACCAAAACACTGAATTGAATATTCGATTATACATATATTATGTAACATATTCTAATAACATTGGTAGCAGAAAACCAATCAAATTATATAACATTTAAGACACCAGTGATTCTCAACCTTTATTTTCTTTGCAACATGAACTATTAGCATTAGGATAAATCGCTAAGAAAAGGATACTGTTTGAATTATAGTGGATATATAATAAATTTCAATTAGTTTATGGTTTCTCAGGTGTATCGAATTTACCGCAGAGAGCGCTACAGGTCACATCGATGATCCAGGGAATCCCCTTTAGCAGTGACCCTCAAACTGTTTGCATAGAAAACAAACAAAAAAAATATGGATATTTTCATTTATTTCCTTTTCTAAACAAATATATACATCTACAGTTTATTAAAGATTAAAATTGATTATTTTCTACAAATCAATTATACTCTATATATTTATTTATTAATAAAATGTAACGTTTTCAAATTAATTTGCTGTATTTTTGTTTGTAATTAAATTTTAGTAATTTTCTTTTTATAAACATACCAACACTTATTACCTGCAAGTAACAATTGAAACAACGATGAATTTGCTTGTTTTCATCTGTCATTTGCACGAAGCGGTTGTTGTTGTTGTGTTTTTTAAGGTGCAATTTCCCCAAAAATGTTTTCCATGGAAAACGCAACGGTGATTTTGCTTAGCGCCTGTCAGATATCGTGAAAACCTGAAAGACCGTGCACAGCAGAGGTTAAGGTCACTGACGAAATTTTCAGAAAAGTGCCAAAAAAAACAAACAATAATAATAATAATGTCCGAAGTAAGTAGCGAAAATCCATCGAGTTTTATTTGATAATTAATCAATGAATGCAATTTACCAGGACAAAGCTCCGACTGCTGAGCAGCTGAAGGAGCTGGGAAATGACTCTGTGAAGAACAAGAAGTACACAGAGGCCATCCTTCATTACACCCATGCCATCAAACTGGAACCAAACAATCACATTCTGTACAGTAATAGATCATTCGCATTCCTGAAAATGGACCAATTTTCTCTAGCTCTCCAAGATGCTGCCAAGACAATTAAGCTGGACAGGACCTGGTGGAAGGGGTACTTCCGTGAGGGAGAGATTTTCTTTGCGGCCGGGCAGTATCTGACTGCTTTGGCCTCATACGAGATGGCTTACAAATACAATCAGGATGAACATATAGTGCTTTCCATGAAGAAGTGCAGGATAGCCAATTTGAAGGAGATGAAGGCTGACGAGCAGATCCCTTGGGTGGGGTCTGGAATAGGCATAGTCGTTGGTGTAATTATTTTGATTGCAGACTACATATTCACCGAGATTCCCACAGTAAGAAACAAAGCAAATTAAATTCAAATTTATTATGTTATATATATTTTCTTTTGCAGCATCCAATGATTATGGCGGTTGTGACTGTTGCAATTGCTTTAGCCGGTTATGCTTTTGCCAAATGTTACCGGTTTTACGTTAAGTCCCAAAGAGAAACTCTAGGGAAGGATCTTTATGGTAAAAAATTGATCATTTAAAGACATTCGCGTTTAATCTCTATATTCTTTTCAGATAATGATGAGAAGGAGGAAGAGGAGAGTCCTGAAACTGAAGTCAAAACTAGTCCGAGATACACAAAGTCTCAAGCGCGCCAGAGATATTGGAAGGGAAAAATGTGATTCTGGATATCTTCCGAGGTGTTTTTATAAAGTTTGTGAGTGCATTCGTATAAATTCCTTTTCTGTGACAACGTTTCCTTATAATTTATTTAAGTTTAATACAAATAAACTTTTTCTCTTCACTCGCACTATTAAGTTTATTAATTTTTTTTGTTTCACCCTTACTGTTTCGAGAAACCGGTGCGCGTGTGTCTGTTCATGAATTTGTACAGGTAGATGATGCGCTTGTTCAGCTCGTTCCATTTCGTCGGTCTGTTGATCGGGTACGCTCTGTGATGGAATATTTTCTTCTTGCGGATGAGCATCTGGAACTCGTTGCCGCTGACACCTCTCACCCAACTGGGAAGATTGTAGAGTGTCTTCGTTGGATGCAATTTGTCGTTTCCTAGTATATCGATGTAATCGTTCTGACCGAAAAGCGCTCTCTTCGTTGACCAAGCATCTTTGGGTCTGTACTCTGGCATCGGCAGTTTCTTGTAGCTCGGATCCACTTTCGGTAAAGGTCCCTTTTGCAGGATGTTATCGTCAAAGCCGTAGCGACGGATCGTGGGGCCCTTTGCAATTTTTTCAGAGTGATACCTGAATCTGACCGGCACTTTCAGAGGATTCCAAGCCTTCAAACCATTAACTATACTCGAAACGAACGACATTATTACTGAAAAAGAACATGTATTCAATTAATTATTAACAATCTATCTATATATTCAAGTTTACCTTACTTTATTATAGGTTATGCACAAATCCAATACATGACATAAGAATATGCAACCAAACCAACAGCAGTGTATAAACAATTGTCTATTTTATGTTTAAATATAATTTATTTCTTCCTTTCATTTAAACTTACATTAAAAAGTAATAATTTACAAAACGATTTTGTATACAAAAATTATTTGATAATTTATAATAGATTTTTCACTATTTAATTGTAAACAATATTTTCATTTTATATTATATTTTACAATATTTTAATACTAACTCTTAAATTCGTAGAATAAATTTTAGTTTTGTTTAAGAAAAACAAAATTATGCAGAGTTTCCAAACAAAACTCAAATCTTTTGGTTTCGAACAGAAATTTCCTCTCTTTGCCTTGTAAACTGAACGCAGGTAAACGCTATCTAATTCTGGGAAACCATTTTTCAAGTCTCAACATCTTGTTAGTTTTACTACCCATAAATTATCGCTTCTTTTTTTTCCTTGAAAGAACATGAAGATTCAGACTTGAACTTTCTACAGAACATTTTGAAAATGCTCTTGTAAAATCTTTACTCTTATGGTTTTTATTTCAATTTGAACAATGGAATTATTGTATTTACAAGTTGATTATTATAAAACGACACGTATTGTGGGAATTCGTGGCGCGAAGATTTTAACCTGATATAACAACTTTATTTATAGAAGTCGTGGAAAGGATTGAATCGATAACAGCTTTGCCGTGCTGGTGTATAAAAAAAAATAATAAACTGCGGATATGTAGGGTTTTGTATTTGTCGCATTTTGATACTACGTTGCAAATCTAAAATGTATTATTGTACGCAGTTAGCATTTTGCTTGGAAATTAATGTTATCTAGTTTCTTGTTTAGTAAAGACTTGATGCGAATATCAAATTAACTGTATTTAGTGATACTAGATATCATTTTGACTTAGTTTATTATTGTTTTTACATGTAGTTATTGATATTAGAAGTAATGTATTTAGACTTTAGTTAAGTATATGTCAAATACACAATTAGTTTGTTTTAAGTAAACTCTTTTGATTGGGTAGTTTTTAGGTATCGAAGGGTGTTGTTCTGTAATGCTGTAATCACGTGAAAGACTTCCAAGATCTTTTAGACAGCTAAAAAAAACTGTACGACATGACGAAGCTGCTGATGCTGCAAATGGAGAGAAAACGCAGGTTTTAATTTATTATAATATACGCGAGTTTAAGGTCACCAAAATAGCCAGAGAGTATTTGCGCACGTAAGTGTTTATTATCGTCAGCTTTGTGCAAATACGTATGGAAAAATACCGCACATAATGCGAACACGCACGACAATCTCCAACCGTCTTTCATTAAACTTATTATTATTACAAAGCACTAAAATAACAAGTTGTAAGCACAATGCTTCAACGAAACGTTGTATTTACCCCGAGATGATCGAGGCCAACAGAAAAATATAAAACGAACGCGATAACTCGGTTATCGCACAAGCTATTTGTACAGAGTCTCAACTTTCCTTTTTTTCTTTCTTTCTTCTTCGTCCTTTCCACTCTCCAAAGATATTACCCTGGCTTGTCGTAATCTCGGCAAGCAGAACCAGAACGAGGAGCGAAGACCGTGAAGAAGAAAAAAAAAACGTTCATTCTATTGTTATTTTCGAGAAACCGCACGCGACGACACAGGAAAATCGTAATGCTAATCATCATCGTCGTGTTGATAAGGCAACGCGGTAGATTTTTCCGTTATTAATAAACGGAATCCATGGAAACAACTAGAAGAGATGACTCATTTTTAGTTTTGTCTTCTTTCATTTTTGGGTGAAGATTGTTACCGAAAATTCGAATAGTCGTGAGTCACGTTAAATTTATTATATTCCAAATTACTAAAGTTGTGTCTCGGAACAATTTCTTCGCATTTTTTGGCCACGGCTTACTTAACCGAATAATTTTAATCGTTTGCACACAAAGCAAATAACGTAAGTGTAATCAGTAATAATCTAATAACGAACGGTTGATAACATTTGATCCAAGTCGTCGCACAAAATAGTAAAAAACAACAACAAAAATAAACAACAACAATAACAGCTGAACGTGTATCAAATTGTCTATAACAACAAGATTACTTTATGTTGTTATTTAATATGTTAATTGAACTTTTCCATTTGGATAAAACTAAATTATTATAATAAATTACAATAAAAATTGTAAAATAACGTTTACTTTCTCACAATAATTACTAAATCGTTTCTCTAATGGAAGATTTACCATGTTTGTTTTTATTTTGATTGAATTATAATTGTTTGTGTCTTGTTTCAACGATGATAAACAGTATGGTAATTGTCAATGCTATTAATGCAGCTATATTTATACGTGAAACCTTGGTCTTTCAGAGCTTTTCAATGATAAGTAGAAATCACTGTTAATTACATTGAAACCAATGTTAGATGCACGAGAAAATGTCTATTTAAACTCACCGCTCACCTCTATGCCAATGAATTATAAATTAGTTTTAAATAAATGTTGAAATACCGAAGTAAATAATTATTTTTAGATCTTAGATGTAAAACTTCCAATGTTGATATTTCGCATGGGAATTGATATTAAACGTCGCAATATACTTTATATTGGTTGTAAACAAATTAAAAAAGAAAAGAATATTATTGCGAATGGGTCGAAGCAAAGTCAAATCGCTGCCTCTCCTAAAAGTTATTTCTATGACAACCAAACAAAAAGTTATTATTTCCATGACAACAAAATACAAGAATTCTAAAAATACAAGAATTGTTAACTAAGTTTTATTTAGATTTAGATCCGTTTCCCAAACTTCTCATACATTCGAACATCTCATTGCTTTTCGTTGGTGTGTGTTTGTATTCTTGCGAATTATGCTAAATATCAAGGTCTCTTTTTGAAAGTTTTCAACATAATGGTGTTAATGATATAATGGTCTAATTACACCTGTAAATTTATCGTGTTTTTTTTTGTTTCTTTCGTTTTGAAATAACAATGACGAAGACATTAAGAAAAATCTC